TCCTGAGTTCAGTTCCTCACACCAAAAAACCCCACTACTGACTAGAGATTTAGCTCAACAGCATAAGCGCCTGCTTGACAACCATGAGGTTGTGAGTTTGCTCCCCGGTACCACCAAACAAACAACACCACAATTAAATAATGCAGCAAAGGAACACAGAGACAGACCCAGAATTATGACAGTGGTATACAGATGCCAGGCGTTGAGATGCGTGTCAGCACTAGGTGTGGATACCCAAGTGCCAGGTGACTAAGATGAAGCGTCAAACCTAGACGAAGATACTTGATGGTTCTGTACTGGCCCCACCCATCCATTCCTCCCTCTTACTGATTGTCCCTCGGACTCTGCTCTGGTGTTCATTTACTCCAAGGTCTCCGTTGTGTTGTTCTAACCCTGAAATGCCACCCACTCCCACCCAAGGTCAGCCCCATGGATCTTCAAGGTGTAATTCAAACCTCTGTGAATCCAAATCAGAAGACAATGCTCCTTTTTCTGCGAAGGAATTTATGACACTGGTTGTACTCTGTTGCTTCTTGCTTGGTCCTTTGAGCTCTCTCATCAGTGAGCTCCCCTTTGTCCTGTATTTGTGACTGTGAAAGGATGAGACTTTGCTTTATGATTCTGTCTCTCAAGTACTGTACGTCTTGCTCAGTAAAAATATTTACGGTCTTGTTAACTTAAATGTATGATAAAACGAGCTAAGGGTATCTAAAAGGATGTAAAGAGCTTAAAAATAGATCAATGCCATAGATTTACACAGGAAAGGGTATGCAGTGCACTTATTTAATGAATAAGTTTTACTAGCTCCTTTGGAATTAATAGCATGAAGAATTCAACTTTTATTGCTGTAATTAAGGATGACATCAAGAAGAGGAATGCATGGTGACCAAGAAGCCACGTTTAGTCAACCACCTGACAATCCACATGTATCTGATTAAAAGACTAGATTTTTTTTTTTTAAGACAAAGCCTTGCTAAGCAGTCCAGGCTGGCCTTGAACTCACTAAGTAGCCCAGACTAGCCTTGAATTTCTGGTCCTCCTGCTTCAGCCTCCTGACCATTATGGGCATGTGTGCCCAGCTGTAACACCTTTCCACCAGCTTGTAGGTGTATGTTTGTGTGTTTTGTGGGCACCTTCAGGGTTGGGCCCTATGTATGAAAATATAAAAATTATCATAACATGTACTACCCAAATTGAGACTATTTGAAAATCATTCCAACATAGTATTAAATTTTTCCAGGGCTGTCCATTTCACAATTTTATTATAGACACACATACAGGTTTAAAACACCAGCCCAGACAGTAGACAAGGTCATTTTTCATCATCATTTTCATTGCCCAGCAAGTAGATTTTTTCCTGTGACAAAAGGAGCCAAACCCTTGAATTTTATGGTAGCTCGTCCTCCTGCATGCAGAGACTTGGAACTGCTTAACAGGCTTAATGTGTATGATCAGTGGGAAGCTAGCCAGGACTCCTGGGCACAAGGCATTCTGAACCTACTTCCTGGACTGCCCACAAGCAGCACTGAGTGTGACAATAAACTGACAATATTGGATTTCTTGGTCTGAATTGTTTCAGGCCGTCAGAGGAATCCAGGCTGAGCATCCAGGCTGCAGCTTTTCATTCTGTCATTCTCGGAGGCTTAACCCTTCCCATCGCCCTCTCAGTGATTATGTTGATGAGCTGTAATCTCACAAAACCTCGACTCAATCCTCTGAACCCTGTTTGGATAAGGATAATCCAAAGGAAAATTTCTCCCACCAGGTAGTGGATTATTGCAGTTCAAAAAAAAGCCTGCGTATGTTGGGGCAGGGTGTGTACAAGAACTCTTTCTACTTTCTGCTCAAGTTTATTATAAATCTAAAACTGCTCTGAAAATTAGGCATATATATATATATATATATATATATATATATATAATCATGATCATTTCTTCCAAGGGACAAAACTTAGAAGATGAGTTAGCATCATGGAAGAATGTTCTTAAATGGGGTTTCATCATAATGGCAAACATTCATTACAAGCTAAGTGCATGGCAAGCACTGTTGAGGTATTTTACATGTAATAACTCATTCACTACTCCCAGGACCCCAGGAGGGGAGTGCTTGCCTGGCATCTACATTTCACAGAAGGAAGTACTGTCCTGCCCAAGGCTGCAAGGATAAAGAGGACTGAAACCAAGATTCCAGCCTTGGCAGCAGAGGCTCTAGACCTGATTGCTCTCACTCATTTCCTGAGGATGCAGAGTAATGGACAAAGCAGTGGCATTGGTGATTTTGCCCGAAGAAAATAACCAGGGCACAGGGTATGCCGGACCACTGCTCCCTGCTGTCCTGAGGGTAACCAAGGGCTCTCACGTGTTAGTAAGTCCTGCAGGTAGGCTCCACTGACTCACAGTCAGTTCTGCTTTAATGAAGTCCTGGAGCCTTAGCCAACCCAGCGTGTGAGCAGGGGCGCCTTCTCCCCTCTTCTCTTTGTAACAAGCTCTCTTGTGCTTTCAGCAATGTACTTGACAGTCACATCCCAGCACCTGGTTGTCCTAGACTAAAGCTTCCCAAATCCTCAGTCCTAACAGGCTACTAACCTCAAGAGGCAAAAGGACAGCATTCTGAGTCCTAAATGGCCTCCCACAGAAGTGCTTACAGAATGAAAAACAAAAATCTATATGATTAAACAGAATATGGCAAGAGCCACAGCAGAAAAGCAAACAGAAACCAGAGACAAATATAGGACATTTCTGTGCATTGAAAAATGAAAGTGGATCATTCAGCCGCTAGAGCTGCTCTTCCCTCCCCTGCCTAGATTTAGTTTGCATCTCTTTTTGAACCTCCATGACACAATTATGTTTTGAGAATTCCTGAACTGGAAAGACATCCTTTTCTAAAACTCTTGGCTGAATCTGTGCTTCTGAGATGCAGAGAAAAGTCCATTTGCACAATGGTGAGCCCATATGCAGTTCACTCCACACAGCTGCTTTGGGAGACTCTGGATCAAGCCAGAGAACTCATCTCAGATCTCAGGAGCCATTTCTTGTTTTCCATTAGCAAACTCAAGCAGGAACAAACCTTACTTATCTCAGATGGTTTCTCTTGCATGCAGGCACTCAGCCATGCATACGGCCACCAAGCAACTGTAAAAAACCAGAACATCATGGATCAGAACTGTGGTGCACATCCACACGCATACACAGACGCCCCACAGCCCTAACTGGCAACACATCTATTTAAAAATTATTTTTAATCAACAAAAATTGTATGTATTTATGGGATACAGCACCATGCATGGGATACATGCATACATAGTGAAATGGCTACATCAAGCTAAGCAACATATGGATCCCCTTACATGCTTATCTGGTAGCAAATCTAAGCTCTTTTCTGGAAGTCAAAACTGTTTTAACAGTCAGGAGTATAGGGTTCCCTCACTAAGATCTTTTGTTATGAAAACCCAGTTTTTTCTTTCCTAAGGTAGAAGAGAAGTATAGAGGAACCAATGCTAAGAGGAAACCAGCTAGGTATACGGTAATAGCAAAGGATTCTTTCTCTTTCTTCATTCTAATGAGTCATGAAGATGGGTTCTTTCAGAGGTCAACACAAAAAGCTGGAACTCAATTCAGCTCTAAGAGACTATTTCTGTCCATGCTTTGAGATATCCACACCTTCAGAGTGAGGAATGGGCTTCAAGGAGTCTGACAGAGGAGTTTCAGGCAGTGATTTCTGATCTAGGGCTGACCAGCCTGAAAGGAGGTTGTTTGAAACCTGAGACAGTCCATTTATTTTTTTATTTTTTTTATTGTTACAATCCTGAAGTGTGTGTTGGGGGAAAAATGTTTGCATTGCTTCAAATATCACTTCCCCTGTCCAGCTGCACGGCTCTCCATTTTGTCTCCTGCTCCGTCTCTTATAGCCTCATCGTGCCTTGATAGTGTGTCCCTGTGCGCAGTCCAGGAATTGTATTTCACGTTACTCAAGTGTTCTATTCTTAGGTAAGCCCATGCAAAAGCAGTCTCAAGCTCATAGAATTTTAGAACCGCTTGAGGGATAAATCAGTCTTGCCGAATGCCTATTGAATACTAGAAGCGTTAATCTCATCAGCTACTATTTCTCCCCAGTTGCCAAATGCGATGGAGAATACAGAGAGGTTAAGTGCCTCAAATTCTCGATCCTTCTGCCTCAGCCACCTAGAGTGCTGGCCTAACCCTACTTTATTCCAGGTGGCCTCTTACTGGCAAGGATGAAGACAGACTGAAAGGACAGTGAGCCAGAAGCTGAGGTCTAGACGGCTGCATATCCTCATGCCCTTCCCCAGCCAGAAGGACTCTGCTGCCACATCCTTTCATCTCCCCCTGTCCTGGAGAACCACTACCTAGCCTCTCTTCTTCTCTCTTTTTTTTTTTTTTTTTTTTTTTTTTTGTACTGGGGACTGAACTCAGGACCTCGTGCTTGCCAGGCAAGTGCTTATGCCACTGAGCTAAACTCCCAGCCCAATCTCTCTTCTCCTTTTTGACCCCAAGAATACCACACTGTGTCCCGGTCTAGAGATGCCAGTCCTTCGGTCTGGATCCATCAGAACTCCACAGATGAGCTACCAACCAACCTTCCTCTTCCCATTCCCAGAGAATACCTGATCTCACCTAATGCCCCCCGCCCCCAGCTTGCGGTCACAATCGCCCCTCTTCAGCCTTTCAGCATCAACACAAAACAACTCCCATCCTCTAACCCTGCTCCCTTTTTCCCCGCCCCCTCCGGGCGGACCTTACCCAATAGCATCTTGGCTCAGGGGACCAAAGACGTCAAAAGCAACCAATTGTCGAAGAACTGTCCTTTATGGACGCCGGTCTCCATTCTGAGGAGCAGCTCTGCTGACCAATGGACTGCCAACAAGGTGCAAAGAAAGCGCAAGGGCTAGTGAGTAGCACTGGAGCTACCCAATGAACAGGCGGGTTCCGGTGGTTAGGGGCGTAGCAGAGTCGGTCGCTAGGGGCGTGGCAGCAGTTGCCTGGGCGGGGCCGGTAGCGGCGGGAGACGCTCAGGCCAGGGGTTCCGGCTGCATTTCCATGAGCGCAGCCGGCAGCCGCGGAGCTGCGGGGACCTGACTGTGGGCGAGCTGGGCAGCTGTAGGCATCCACGTTCAGGTAAAGCCACTGTCGAGCGAGTTGCGAGGGCCGGACATCGTGCCCAGGAGCTGTCGGGCCCAAAACCCAAGCCCGCGGTCTCCAGTGTGGCCCGGGCCGTCACCCCGCAGGCTGCGCGTCCGGGGTCCTCGAGGGCTCTTAGGGGGGCTGTCTCTTGGCGCCGCAGGGGTCCCCAGGGCGGGCTTGCTCAGCGACTAGGGGAACCCGGACGGCGGGGGATACGCCTTCCGGAAGGTCCTTTGTCCCCTTGTGTTCCGAGAGCTGAGGTGGGGACAGCCCCGACCGCGGCCTCCCGGCGGCCATCCCGGCCCCCGTCGTGCGCACTCCTGGGGCCTTCAGGGATCGAACTCGGGGGTCTGCGGGCCCAGGCTCGCAACCAAGATCCAAGGTCCTCAGCTGACCGGGAAGGACCTCGGGGCCTAATCACAGCCCCGGAAATTCCAGGAGTCTCTGCCTTTGGGGGCACCAGGGGCGCACCCGGGACCATCGTGTTCAAGTTGTAGGGAAGCAGCTCGGAGGCTTAGTGAGCAACCCACTCGGAGGCTTAGTGAGCACGGCCCACGCGGTGACACTGTTCTAGGCTGTTCGTGGGCTTCCCACGGCGAGAGCTGTCCAGCAGCTCTGGAGGCGATCTGTCCGCCAGGCCATCAGCCAGCACCGCGACCTTGGAAATGTCCAGGCAGGGCCCAGCCAGATGACAGCCACCTGTCAGGGATGCTTGGGAAAGACTCCCAAGGGAGGAATGCATGATCCATCTGTAAGGCTCTTCTCCACCCACTGAGGCACTCTGGGTTCCATCTAATGCCTACATGGGGGCAGACACCTCAAAGGGGGGGGTCCATTAAGTTCGAAGTGGGTGTTAAATTCACCCATGATAAATTCCGAAGTTTCAGCTCTCAAGTGTGGGTGTGAACAAAGAGAATGGATGCTACCAAAAGATATACCAAAAGATAAATAAGCCAAATGATTTGTTTCAGCACCATAAAAGGCCTTAATTTAAACTACTGTGGATTTGGTCTTCCTAATTCCTCTATTTCGGTGGCAACCGTTTGTCAGTTTCATCTGTGTTCTAGAAACCAAACTCAGAGGTAGTTTCCAGGAACAGGGTGGGAAGAGGGACCTCCAGAGTCTGCAGGTTTGGCAGAGTCAGCACAATTAGTGCCCAGCACATTTCAAGGGCCATTTGGTTGCAGTCTTATTAAGCAGAATCCAAAAGAGGGACAGTCTATTTCCCCCTCTTCATTACCTTCTGTCATTTGCCTGCACAGAGAGGACATGAATTTCTGAAGGTCAGAAGGCAGAAAAAGAATCTTAACATCACTTGTTGCCTGAGGATGAATTAACCTTTAAGTAACCAGTCAGAAAGCAGGCCAGTCTGCATAGCGCTGATTGTCGGCATGTGCTTTTTTGACATTTTTAGAGCCAAAGACCTGAGATAGAGCTCACCCAGTTCAACCTTCTCAATGCATAGGCAAGGAAACAGGCCAGTGCTCACAAGGCTGGCTGGTCAGCACAGAGCCATGACTAAGGGTTGATTTTTTAAAAATCATATATTTGGATAGCAATCTCTCATTTTCTCAGTGTTTAAGATTTGGGGGAGAGGTTGGGAGCACAGATTTTGGTATCTGAGTACCTGGGTGTAAGTCTTAGACCTGCTTTTACTTAGCTGTGTAACTTTGGGTGTTAGCCTCTCTGTGAAACAAGAATGAGATGCTACTCTGGTTAGGAAAGTTTTTGCAAAGTGCACGAATTATTATATTGGAAGCATTTAGAACAGTGCCTACTGCATAGTAACCACTATAGATTTTCCGATTAGACTGTTGTTACCTTTTAATACCACTTTTTCCCCCATATCTATCCCCCAGTATTTTTCCATCTTCCTTTGGCCCCAAATCATTAAACTTATCCTAGATTTCATTTTAGTGTAGACATCTGTGGGGGTCCACAAGTCACACTGTATTTTATTTCCACTGCCACTAAACTACATCCCGAGCCCTTTTTATTTATTTACTTATTTTTTGAGGCAAGGTCTGAGTTCCTCATGCTGGCCTTGAACTTTCAATCCTCTTGCCTCAGCCTCCTTGGTAGCTGGGTTTACACATATAAGTCACTACACTTGGCTGCATTTTATTTTTTATGTAGTTTTCTCTTTTTTAAAAATTGATTTTATTGATATACTTTTGATATACATAATGATCACATTCATCATAGAGAATTTCTTCTTATTTAATCAGATAATTCAGTTTCTCTGTTAGTCGTTCCCTTGTGATTACTCTTTTTAGATGGGAATTTTTAAAAATTATCTTTAAAGGGGATGAGAAGGACTCTCTCCAAGTGATAAACAGAGTCTGTGATGATATTTATCTCCACAACAGCCTTCCAAATATGTGCAGCCTTCCTCCCCAGTTGTCAGTGTAAGGCAGCTTGATTATAAATGGATGAACATTTTTAGATTAAGATTTCATGAGCCACTGTATTAAGTGCTTTTCAGAAGTTCAGGGATCGTATGTCAAATGCATTTAAGCAAGTTCCTTAGTCATTTAAGTAGGGGGAGCAGCGGCAGGGCCTGCCTGGCCTGGTAGAAAGAAGCATGTGACGAGTTCTGGCTGGTAATCTAGCTTGTCACTGGCTTATCTGCATTTTGCCTGTTCTCTTCCAGAGCTTGAAATAAACCAAATGGCAAGTGCAAGGGAGAATTCTTTTCCCCTCCCTGCTAGCTGGAGAAGGTCCCATTCTTCCCTTTCTACTTTCACTTTCATTCCCTGACTGGTTTTGATAGTGGGCCCCTCAGCTGGTCAGCTGGCTCCCTTCCGCTGAAGGGATGCCTGTCACCTTTTATTTTTGTGCAGAAATCCAGTCCCCTTTGCTTGTGCATTCCTTGTTTTCTTTTAACCTGTGAACTTCATTGAACCAAAGATGATCGCTTTTTGTTTTATTTTTGTATTTTTTTATTGTAAGGAGAATAAAACAAAACAAAACAGAACAAAGCAGATCAGAACAATGCAATCAACATAGGATTTCAAAACAACAGGAAATCAACAGTGGTTATCATAATGTCTCTTGTTTTCTTCAAAATAGTTGTCCACATCTTCACACGTAATAAATTCAAACAAGACAAGAATAAAACCGTTCAAAACCATTCAAAACAAAACAATAAAAGCATTACAGGCCTTCAAAACCAGACAATAGGAAAATAACAATGGCTACCATGTTTCTTGTTCTCTTCAAAATAGCTGTCCATAACCTTCACAGATACTGAAATGAAATAATACAAAACAGACTAAAGCCAATCAAAACAAAGAATAAAAGCATTCCTGGACTTCACAACAAGATGATGGGAAATCAGCAGTGGCTACTATAATGTCTCCTTTTCTTCAAAGCAGCTGTTTATACCATCACACATAAATAAAATCAATTCTTGTAAACTTTTGGAGAAGTTCTAGGCATGTATTGATCACACCTTTTCCCTTATTTTTCTCAAGAGCTGGTTCTGAGTTTCAGCTTTTTGTTTAAGCGGTTGCCTGTGTATTGATGTGGGCTCTTTCTCACAGTGCTTTGGCAGAAGGGCTTCTTATTTGTTCATATTCCTCGCTTCATCCTTTCCCACATTTCTGCCAGGAATCCTAGGCAGGGCCCACATGCAGTAGGTACACTGCTTCCCACTCGCCATGCTCAGAGCTCTTGCCCAGAGAACAACCCTTTTCTGGTCCTTTGGAAGTGAAGGGAAGCGTCTGTCTTATTTTTTGCCTAAAATCTGGCACTGTGAATAGCCCTGGCAGAAAGACATTTCCAACCTAATGAGAGTCCTGCGTGGTGCCCTTACCTACTCCTTACGATATTCCGATTCTTGTTGGGGAATGAGTTTGGAGCCCTCTTTGACCAGCTGAAGACTGTAGATGTCATGGGGTGTGAGGTGCTTTAGCCTTTCCGTCTCATCTTGGGCTAAGCTGACCCGATGAGAAGTGCAGTGGAAAGGCAGGTGCCCCCGACGTGGTCTGGCATGGGTTCCAGTGAGTGATCAAGGCCATCCTTAACCCCTCTGCTTCCAGTCCTATATGGATACACAGGTGCTGACATTATTTCCCTAAGGATCCTTTTCCTATGTACAGATTTATTCTTGTGTCTTGTTTCCAGGGCATTGTATTTGGGGATTAAAGGTTCTCTGTTTACAAAATGGCTGATGTGGACAGCTGCAGAGCCCTGCAGGTCCCTGTGAAGTGTGTGTGCAGCTCCTAACCCAGGGACCACTCTGATCTTTTGTGGTAGTTAAGTAGCAGACAGGTGAAGACTTGATTAAAGAATTGGAATATTGAAGCCCTTAGCTTTGGGTGATTTTCTTTGGTTGTCTTTAGGTGGAGATTCGTTAAGTTCAGCCAAGCAAGTATTTGCTGTGTGCCAAGAGCACGGTCAACACGGTTGATAATAAGTGTTCTTGTGGTATAAAACGTGTTTTGTTTTAAAATCACTCATATTTTAAATGCATGTGTTCAATCAGATTTTGTTTTTCCAAGACAGCTAATACATTGTGTGATGAAAGAAAATATCTCAAAGGCACAAAAGGTCAGATAAGGAATGATCTCTGTCCATCCTTGCTCCCTGCCACTTGTTTTCCCCCTCAGAGGCAACCAGTGTCACTGATCCCTTCATCCTCCCGAGGTGGTCTGTGCACCTCGAATATATTTCATACATCCAGAACAAAGTTGTTAGGGAGTATTCTGCCTACCCATCCGTTTCACACAAGCAGTGGTGCGTTATGTGCATACTGCTTGGAACCTTGTTTCTTTTTTCCTTAAAGATTCTTGGCAGTGTGAAAAAGGCTTCTACATCACTGCTTATGAAGGCTGTCTATGTTGGATATTTGTTTTCTGTTTCTGAGGGTGCCGAGAAGCAGCCTTACTTAGGCAGCAGCTTTAAAATGGAGATCGTAAAGCATTTTGTGGCTGTTGGGGCACAAATGTTTTTCTTTTTTTTATTTTTTTCTTTTTTTGTCTTTTTCCTTT